GCGGGGGGAACCCGTTTTCTTAATCGCCCCTCCCGCTCGGCACGCTCACGGAAGAGAGCGGCCAAGCGGATGCTCAAGCGGGGGGGTGGAACCCCATTTTGTTAAGTGGGTCCCCTGGAATTCCCGAGGCGCTGCCTCGCACGAGCAGCCCGAAGCACCACGGATGACATGCCTCTCAGCAGCGTATGCATCCTGGGCAGGTGTGCGTGCCACTGCTCCCCCAACACACTTGCATTAGAGTGTCCAGCGGCACGCTCTGTACAGGGCCCCAGAAGGCGGATAGGCTCCGCGCGGTGATGTTCGCGAGGCGCCGTGCGTGCAAATTGCTGCAGACATGCGCGTGCAACATATCACACCAGTGGTAGATCCCCGTATGGTACGGGGCACGGTCGTAGGTTGGCGGATTGCGGGACCCGCGGGCCGCCAGCGGAGTCCCGCGTGACGCGGAGCGGTGCCGTAAGGTTAAGGGTTCGCGGGCTGCGGGCGACCCGCATGACGCTACCTGGGCGCCACGCGACGCAGGAGCGACTCCATTTGGGTCAAGGCGTAGGTCAGCTGAGGCGCGGATGACCTGCATGCCACCAGCCGAGGCCCGTGTGACACGGGACGGCACCGCGTAGGCCAAGGCGTGAGTTCGCTGCGCTGCGGGCGACCCGCACGCCACTAGCCAAGTCCCATGCGACATGGGACGACCCTTGGTTGGGGGCGATGGCGTAGGCTCGCGGTATTGCGAGTAACCCGCATGCTAGAAGCCAAGTCCCGCGCGACGCGGGGCGGAAATTGGGGCAGTTATTCGCCAATTAGCACAGCAGGTGGCGGACAACTCGTGCCCCCTAGAGCGTAGAACCTCGGCCACGCTCATCGGATAACACTTCGGCAACATGGCTTAGCATGCTTCAGGCGCGGCAGAGGGGCAGTGAGGCTACATTCTTCACAACATGACCCACCTCGCAATTAATGAAGATGCCCGCCCCTGCCGATGGGCATGCGGCGGCAGACCACCGCCATTAAGAGGGCGGAAAAATGCTGCATCGTGGAACCGGACGATGGGGAGGCACGGGAACCTACCCCCTCGCAACGAGGGCAACTTTGTGCCTGCGAAGGTTACGATGGGCACACAAGCCCACATGTACCCTCACGTCGGGTGGTGCGGGGTTAAGGCGCCCCTTAAGCCATATCATTTCAAGTCCTCCTGTACCTCCTCCTTCCCCTCTCCAAAATATGGTGATGGTGGTGGAAAACAGGCCCATCAGCAGCAGCGAGGCACGCGGGGGCGCAGAGGCACCCCAAAGGCGCGGCCGCACACGGTGCTCTCGAGGACGGGATCCACTACAGCAACGACTTGCCCCAAAGATCCTCCTGGATGCCTGGATACGCCGAATTCGCGCCCCCGCTCGAGACATCCTCGCAGTGTCTTTCCTGGAGAGGCCCCCCATGTCCAGAGCAAGAGAACAGTACTTTTCTGTATTGGGATATGCGTTCGAGTAGCGCTTTTCGACCCCCCGTGCGTTTCCTGATAATTCAGCGTTGGGCCAGACGCCATGTTAGATACCCCCCTGGGCGGCCTGGACACGTAAAAAAACATGGTTCCAGTTCGGGGCATTCCTGTTAGATACCCCACTGGGTGGCCTGGACACATACAACACTTAGATCCAGCTCTGAACAACCATTTTAGATACACCCCTAGACGGCCTGGACACGTTAAAACACGTGGTCCTTGCTCGGGACAACCATGTCAGATACCCACCTGGGTGGCCTGGACACATAACAATTACGCAGCCCCCGCACTCCCAGGGCCACGATCCCTAGAAAATGACCCTGGATCCGCGCTCCCAGGGCCCCGAGCCCTCGTAAATTACACGGGATTTGCGCTCCCAAGGCCGCGATCTCTTGTAAAGTACGCTGGCTTCGTGCTCCAGAACCCCCTGGTCATCCTGGAACCCAGGCCCCTCAAATTTTGCAAAACGAGCGTTTCGCTCGAGACATCCCCAGAATATCTGCGCGCAGGATGCGCCATCCTCGAGCGGGCACGCAAAAAGTCATCAACATGTTCACGTTGTTTGTCTCCCAGTCGGGGCTCCAAACATTGTTATTTAGTGGGGATTCTGTGCAAAACGCTCCGCACCCTCTTTTTAAACAAAGGAAAGCGGGGGTCTGCGGACCCCATTAGGCAACGAGGATCCGACATGGGGGGCGCATTCGCGTAGAGCGGGCACGTGCGAAACGCGTTGTTTCAACGCCGAATGGGAGTTTACCTCGTTATTTATCGCAAGTGGGTTCGCTGGCCTCCTTCAAGCATGGCACCAGGGGAAAACAAACCTAAAAGAGAACCCTGGGCCGACGCCCTTTCCTGGGAAAAATATTCGAAAACATGATCGACCCACGAACCCGGAAAGGAATATGGAAATGTAAAGCATGGCAACGCTTCAAAGATACCTGGTTGGGCGACGGGCAAACGCAATGCTGAGTGTATCGATCTTGATGTACCGTGCCAAGTGCTGTGCTATGCTGCGCCGTGCTGAATTGGGATGTGCCATGCCACGATTGTGCTCTATAGCGTTGTGGACCGAGTCCTCCTTTGCATCCAAGCTCGAGCTGCCTGGGCACAGAGTAACTGCCCCAGAGCTAACTGACAGGGGGACATGCCAGCAGGACGCGCCGCGGGACGTGCCAGGCGACGTGCCAGGGGACTGACAGAGGGACGCGCCAGGCGACGTGCCAGGGGACGGGCCATGAGGACGCACCGCGGGACGTGCCAAGGGGACGCGCTACGGAACGTAATGGACGTGCCAGGGGACTCGCCGCGCGACGTGCCAGGGGGACTTGCCACGGGACGCGCCACGGAACGTGCCAGGGAACAAGCCAGGTTGCAATGCTAAGTGTATCGATCTTGATGTACCGTGCCGAAGGATGTGCTGTGCTGCGCCGTGCTGTATTGCGATGTGCCAAGCCACGATTGTGCTCTATAGCGTTGTGGATCGAGTCCTCATTTGTATCCGAGTCCTGTCCGAACTGATCTGGACCTTAAGCTCGAGCTGCCTGAGCACATAGTAGCTGCACCAGAGCTCATTAACAGGGGCACATGCCAGGAGGACGCGCCGCGGAACGTCACAAGGGACGCGCCAGCCGGCGTGCCAGGGGACGTGCCATGGGGACGCACCGCGGGACATGCCAAGGGGGCACGCTACGGAACGTTAAAATACGCGGTCCTTGCTCGGGACAACCATGTTAGATACAGTCGGCCTTGATTGGACAGGACACGCGAGAGGACACGAGGCTCTTCCGAGGGCCACATCGCCATAGGAATGTAAGAAGGCACGTGTCGCGAAGGACACAAGGATACCCTTGAGCTGGCAGGGTCAACCTACTAATCCGGGCCGACTGTACCCCCTCTCGGTGGCCTGCACACGTAAAAACACGTGGTCCAGCCCACCCAGGGGGGATATCTAACATGCGATCGTCTGGGGCGCAGGAGGGCCCAGGAACGCCCAGAGGCGCCTGGAGGCCAAAAAGTCAACGAATCGATACCAAATACACATAAACTCTCGACGTTCCGTTCCGAGTCCCAGGAAGGATCCAGGAGGTTCATGTTAGATACCCCCCTGAGTGGCCTGGACACGTGAAAACACGTGGTTCCAGCTCGGGACCACCATGTTGGATACCCTCCTGGGTGGCCTGGACACGTGAAAACACACGGCTCCAGCGCAGGACCACAATGTTAGATACCCCCCCTGGGTGGCGTGGACACGTAAAAACACGTGGCTCCTCGGGACCACCATGTTAGATCCCACCTGGGTGGCGTGGACACGTGAAAACACACGGTTCCAGCGCGGGGCCACCATGTTAGATACACCCTCTGGGCGACCTGGGCACGTGAAAACACGGGGCTCCAGCGCGGGACCACCATCTTAGACACCCCCTGGGTGGCCTCGACAGGTGAAACACGTGGCTCCAACTCGGGACAACCATGTTAGATACCCACCTGGGTGGCCTGTACACGTAAAAGCACATGGCTCCAGCGCGGGACCACCATGTTAGATACCCACCTGTGTGGCCTGGACACGGGAAAACGTGGTACCAGCTGGGGACCACCATGTTAGATACCCACCTGGGTGCCCTGGACATGTGAAGCGACGTGGCTCCAGCTCGGGCAGAACATGTTAGATACTCCCCTGTGTGGCCAAGGAAATCCTGGAAGAGCAAGCGAATTAGTCGAGACATCCTCAAAATTCCTGCGCGCGGGACGCTGCACGCGCGAGACATCCTCGGAATTCCTGCTCGCGGGACGCTTTTCCGCGTCGCGGTCGGGGCTCCAGACCTCGGTCGCACAAAACGCGCCGCACCCATGTTTCACGAAGGAAAACGGTAATCTGCGGACCTCGTTGTTTATTGAGGATCCGAGATGGGGGGTAGACTTTCCTCGAGCGGGCAGGCGAAAAAACGCACTTGTTCAACTGAAAAGTCACATTTCACCTCGTTGTTTACCGCAGAATAATTTTGCCGTCCCCAGAGCCGTCGGGGCCGGGGGTTAACCTGCTAAAAGAAAACCCTGGGCCCACGCCCTTTCCGGGAAATATTCAATTCTAGTCGAAAAATCGTCCCCTATTTTTGAATTTCCCTCCTGTAGAGAAAGGGACTGGCCCGACTTAAAGCTGGGGGAGAGGGAGGGAGAGAGAGAAGAGGAGGGGTGCGACAAGGGGGAGGGAGGGAGTGGAGTGGAGTCGAGGGGGGAAGCGGGCTGCAGGCAGGAGGGGGGGGGGCAGAGGGGAGGGGGGGGGGAAAGGGGAGGGGAGGGGAGGGGGGAAGGGAGGAGAAGGGGGTGGCCAAGGGGGGAGGGGGACAGGGGAGGAGGTGGAGGGTGAGGGCGAAAGGCAGGGGAGACGGGGGAGCCTAGGAGGAGAGAGGGGAGGAGGAGGGCGGAGGTGGGCGGGGAGGCCGGAGGTGCGCGGAGAAGGGGAGCGCGGGATGCGGGGGGGCCAGAGGCACGGGGGCGGCGCGTCCTTCTTATACTCCACCAGCGCCTCGACCCACAAGTTGTAGACCATCTCCACCTCGGCAAGCATGGCTCGAGAGGAGGGGCGGGAGGAGGACGAGGACGAAACGGCAGCAGAGAAGGGATGGAAGAGGAAGAGGGCGGCGAGAAGCAGCAGGAAGAGAAACACGGAGTCTGAAATATGCATACGGCCGATGGGCCGATGGAGTCCTGACAGTGCCACGGGAAGCCTGCTTGTGCAACCGACGCGCCTCCTATCGACACCCCGCAAAACTGCCACAGAGCGTATACATATCTTTCCTCCGAAAGAGGCCGACCTGTTATCGCCTCGCCTCGGTCTTGCTTGAAAATAAGCGGCGACGACGACGACGACGACGACGACGACGACGACGACGACGGAGGCAACAACGGCGACTGTGGCGGCGACGACGACGACGACGAGGGCCCCGAGACGGCGGGCAGCAACTATCGGACTCGAACACGGAGCAGACGCCACCCCGCACGGCTCCGCGGTCAGCGCCAGGCCAGATCTGAGCATTTTCCTAGGGTGGAGGGCTCAGGGTGAAACCCACGTGGGCTTTCTTTTGCACCTCGAAAACCCGTCCGTCTTGGGACCCACCTTTCGCAGACTCGAGCCTCGAAAATCCATCGAAACGGCATTTCAGACTTCACCCTCTTCATGCAGCTCCACTTGGGGGTGGCGGAAGCGGGGGGGGGAAAGTTCACATGCGCAGGCCGCCTTCCGAGAAACAAAAAGACGATCTCGCGCCAGCAAACGCGCTCAACTGTCGCCCCCCCCGTTGACGCCACCCCCAACTGGAGCTGAAGGACCTCTGCCCCCCGCCCACAGAAAAGGCTCGGCAGAGCAGCGCGCCGGGCTCCGCCCTGGCCGGAGAGGAGGTGCACCGTGGGAACGGCGGCAGGCCTGTGGGGCGTGCCTCGTGCAGAGAGGCCTTCGCCTTTCCGGCCGCCCTCGCCCCCTCTGGGGAGTGGTCCGCCAATGGTCCCCACAGGGCAGGTTTTAATACATTATTTAATGTAGGAACTGCAATTCATGATTCGTGTGTGAATGAATTGATACATAAGCTCATCCTTGCATGTATCATTAATCAACCCTCTATTTTCAATACATGGTCCGCACGCGGAGCATGTTTGAAAACCGGCGCTGCAGTAACAAACACCCCCTCGCCCCCTCGACCAGCGGCCGTGAAGGAACAGCGTCGACCCCCGACCTCGTCTCTACCAGAGCACCAAGTACCAAGTGCACTCTGTGGCAAGATCTCAAACTGTGTTCGGGCGCCTGGCGATCACCCTGCGCTGTTATGTTGCTAGGGGCGGCAGAGGTGCCATTTGCCCGCTGCGCGCAGGCCCACCATCTCTGTCAAACACCGATGCAACGTGATTGCGGGTGCCCACGCACACACACACAATCGGGCCTAGGCCAGAAGAGCATCCCTCAAGAAAACGAGACCCTCCGCTGGCCAAAACACCCAGCACATCCAAGGATACCCTCCCCAGGATGCACAAGAGCATCTAACAAGCACGGAGAACATGAGGGAAGAAATCATCAGGCAATGATCAAGCATAGTCAACAAGTAATAGAAACATCGTCCTCGCACCATTTTTTTTAATAAAAAAAAAAAACAAAAACAAAAACAAAAAACTATTTGGGAGCATTCCTCCTGTAGAGGGACACGCCCGACTTGAGGCCACCCTCCCCGAACCGGCCTCGATCTCATGCCACGGCCCACCAGCACGCACCGAGCACGGTGCTCGCGACCGCGCCGCCGCTCCTGGCACCGAGCTCCCCCGAGACCCCGCCGACTGCCGCGAGGGCCCGGCCCCTCCAACCTTCCCCCCTCGGGGCGAGCCGCCGATCCACGCAGCACGCCTGCGCCCCCCCCCCCTCGAGTGCACGTCGGTCGGCGGAAGTAGGTGAGAGTGAGTGGAAGCCTGGAAACCGACGCCAACACCAGCACTAGGGGTCGCCTCCACGGCAGGAAGACGATCCTGGATTTTGGTGTTGGTGGTAACTTTTCGGTCGCCTGGGCGACCCGAATATTACCACCATCACCGAGATCGGGATCATCTTCCCTCGGCGGAGGCACACCGCCGACATTGGTGTTGGTGTCAACCTCTAGGCCTCCGAAATTACACTAGAGAAAAACCTCAATCAGTGGATGGTGTTTGATCGGTAAGGAGATCGACTGGGAGCCCGGGATCTCGGAACCCACCGAGACCGGCCCGGAAGCGATGACCAGCCGGCAACCAAACTCAGCGGGACACGTTCGCCAGATCTTTCAGTTTCCGCTAGGACCCCTTGCGTGCAAGCACTGAGTGGACCAAAACAAGACATGAAGTAGGAGGGCGGATAAAGCAGATTCGGTCCAGGCCCTCCCAGAGAATGTCAAGACACAGCAAAAGCATATCGGTTCAGGAGGGCGCTTGAAGTAGATTGGGATCTGGGAATCCAGCAATACCTATTTTCAACGTCCGACGTGCATGAGAACGACCCAGGCCATTTCCCGTGCACTTTTGGATTTCGCGCGTGCATTCTCCCCACGATGGTCCATGATGCTCCTCGGAGGTCCTCGCGGAGAAAATGCACACGTCCGAGCCATGCCAAAAACACCCAAGAACAACGGGGAGGCGAATGTCCCTTTGACCTAGGGGGGGCTGCGGTGCTGCAGCAGCCGCGAGGGAGGGGAAACAGGGGCGGCTCTGATCTCCAGGCCGGTAAGCCCACGTCTCCCCGCCCGAGACGAAGCCAACAACGGGATCAAGTCGGATTGGGATAGATCTCTTTGGCGGCGAGCGAGGGGGGAAACGAGAAGGGGAAGGCCTTCTCAGAAGACTCGGAAGTCCCCCGGCCTTCTGAGAAGTCTTCTAAGCCTGCCCCGAAGACACAAACAACCCTCAGAAGGTGCCAAGGATTCTGAGAAGTCCCGCCACCTTCTGAGAAGGCCTTCTCCCTCTCACCTCCACCCCTCGCTCGACGCCGACCTCTGAGGTCCAGCGGCTCTGGAGAACTCGTCGAGCACCGCAGCCGTTCCGCAGCGCCGCGGGGCGCTGCGAGAGCGTTCCGCGGCGCTCCGGAGCGACTCTGGCCTGGACCTGGGCCCGCCCGACGACCTCCCCGCCGCCCGCCAGAGCCGCCCGCCAAGTGGACGCCTTCCCCGGCCCGAAGAGGTCAAAAGTATTAATTGTCCTTAGGTGTTTCAAAAGGTTATTCGTATTTGCTCCTTTTCGGCTTTCCGACGACCCAAGACGGCCCAAGAGGCCCCCACGATCGTCCCCACAGCGCCCAAGAGGCCTCCAAGATGGCCTCAGAACTGCCCAAGAGGCCCCCAAGACGGCCCCAAGAGGGCACAAAGACGATCCAAGAGGCCTCCAAGACGCCCAGGATGGCCTCTAGGACGGCCATGGAGCACCCCAAGAGGGCCCCAAGTCGGCAGCCACGACGTCGGAAGGGCCCAGAAAGGTGCAGTCGGCCCACTAAATAGAAGGGCGCACGGTGAGGCTGCAGGGGCCTCGAAGGCCACGTCGGCGCTCTGCGAGCCCGGCGCGGCCAGGCAGAGCGGCCGAGGAGGGGCCGAAGGGGGAGGGTGCAGGGTACAGTCGGGGCCTTGACCTAAGGAACCCTAAATAAGGAACGAGGCCCCTTTTTTCCATAAGTTAAGCTTCGATTTCCTATCGAAAACAAAAGGAAAACCTGAGGCAAGCTGTGAAACACTTAAGGAACGCGGAGCCCCTCCCCAACCAAAAGGGTTCCTTCTTCAGGGCCCCGACTGTAGCCTCGAAGGTCGCTCATCTCTACTGTGCGGGTTGACCGTCTCCATCTGCCGGGGAGGCATAAGACCTCCCGGGTCCGGGGGACCCAGGTTGGCCTGACGGGGCCGTCGTGAGAATGACAACATGATCGACTCACGAACCCGGAAAGGGATATAGAAATGTAACGCATGGCAGCGTTTTCAAAGACACCTGATTGGATGACGGGCAAGTGCAATGCTGATTGTATCGATCTTGATGTACCGTGCCGAGGGCTGTGCTGTGCTGCACCGTGCTGAATTGCGGTGTGCCATGCCGCGGTTGTGCTCTATAGCGTCGTGGATCGAGTCCTCCTTTGCATCCGAGTCCTGACCGAACTGATCTGGATCTTAAGCTCGAGCTGCCTGAACACATAGTAGCTGCCCCAGAGCTAATTGACAGGGGACATGCCAGGAGGACGCGCCGCGAAACGTCCCAAGGGACGCGCCAGGCGACGTGCCAGGGGACGTGCCATGGGGTCGCACCGCGGGACGTGCCAAGGGGACGCGCTACGGAACGTGCCAATGGATGTGCCACGGAATGTGCCAGGGGACGCGCCACGCGACGTGCCAGGGGGACTCGCCAAGGGACGCCCCACGGAACGTGCCAAGGAACGTGCCAGGTTGCAATGCTGATTGTATCGATCTTGATGTACCGTGCCGAAGTCTGTGCTGTGCTGCACCGTGCTGAATTGCGATGTGCCATGCCGCGGTTGTGCTCTATAGCGTCGTGGATCGAGTCCTCCTTTGCATCCGAGTCCTGACCGAACTGATCTGGATCTTAAGCTCGAGCTGCCTGAACACATAGTAGCTGCCCCAAAGCTGATTGACAGGGGGACATGCCAGGAGGACGCGCCGCGAAACGTCTCAAGGGACGCGCCAGGCGAAATGCCAGGGGACGTGCCATGGGGACGCACCGCGGGACGTGCCAAGGGGACGCGCTACGGAACGTGCCAATGGATGTGCCACGGAATGTGCCAGGGGACGCCCCACGCGACGTGCCAGGGGGACTCGCCAAGGGACGCCCCACGGAACGTGCCAAGGAACGTGCCAGGTTGCAATGCTGATTGTATCGATCTTGATGTACCGTGCCGAAGTCTGTGCTGTGCTGTACCGTGCTGAATTGCGGTGTGCCATGCCGCGGTTGTGCTCTATAGCGTCGTGGATCGAGTCCTCCGTTGCATCCGAGTCCTGACCGAACTGATCTGGATCTTAAGCTCGAGCTGCCTGAACACATAGTAGCTGCCCCAAAGCTGATTGACAGGGGGACATGCCAGGAGGACGCGCCGCGAAACGTCTCAAGGGACGCGCCAGGCGACATGCCACGGGACGTGCCATGGGGACGCACCGCGGGACGTGCCAAGGGGACGCGCTACGGAACGTGCTGGGGACAAGCGTTTCGCTCGAGACATCCTGTCAAAATCCTCATTCTAGACATCCGCCTGAGCGACCTGGGCACGTGAAAACAAACGTTTCGCTCAACACATCCTCAACACAATCTCAGGCTAGACATCCGCCTGGGCGAACTGGACACGTGAAAACAAGTAGTTCGCCCGAGACATCCTCAAGACATCTTCATGTGAGACATCCGCCTGGGTGACCTGGGCACGTGAAAACAAGCGTTTCGCTCGAGACGTTTTCAACACCTCCTCATTCTAGACATCCGCCTTGGCGACCTGTACACGTGAAAGCAAACGTCTCGCTCGAGACATCTTCAACACATCTTCACGTTAGACATCCGCCTGGGCGACCTGGACACGTGAAAACAAGCGTATCTCTCGAGACATTCTCAACACATCCTCATGCTAGGCATCCGCCTGGGCAACCTGGACACGTGCGAACAAGCATCTCGATCGAGACTTCCTCAACACCTCCTCATTCTAGACATCCGCCTGGGCAACCTGGAGGCGTGAAACCAAGCGTCTCGCTCGAGACATCCTCAAGACCTGGGCACGTGAAACCAAGCATTTCACTTGAGAGATCATCTAAATTCTGGCCCCCAGGAGAGGACAATCTTTAACACAAAACATCCGTTTCGCTAGAGACATCCTCAACAAATTCTGAAAAACAAGCGTTTCGCTCGAGACATCCTCAATGTTTAATTCGCCGGCCCTCTTCCCACTCGTCATTTATCGCAAAAGAAATCCGCCGGCCCTCTTCCCGTCAGATCGGGGGGTAAACAGCTAAAAGAGAACCCTGGGTCTGCGCCCTTTCCGGGAAAAAAAACCGCTCTGAGATCCGACGCGAGCTCCCGCTGCAGACATCCCACGAAAACTGGGGCCGTCAAATTGCCCAGGACGCGCTCGCCAAGAGAAGGCGCGTCGGCAAGCCCGACTTCCAGCGCACGCGGGCCTCACGTCTTCCCCACGACCGGCGGGCGGCGGGGCAGGCCCTGGAGCCCCTCCCCCCCCCGTGCATATTTTCGGCGCCGTGCCTCCCCCGCCCATTTTCGGCGGTGAACAAACCTCCCTTTAGCAAACCTCCCCTTAGTGAGAACGGCATGGGACCGAAACCGACGGACCTGGACCCGCAAAAATGACGGCCGCGACGCCCTCTCGCGAACCGAAAACGGCCAATTCCTTAATCGACGTGTCAGGGTAGGAGGTCTGTCCACCCCCGAATGTCCCGTCCGTATTCCCCATGCGGGCTGACTGGACTGTATCAGCCTGGCGGGCGGCGGAAAACCGAGGGCAGAAGCTCCACCCCCTCTTGTAGCCACCCCGCCGCGCGAGGTCGGTCAGTAGAAGCGCCCGAAGAAGGAGCCGAACAGGGCAGGGTATTGCAATAAACGCCCGGGGCCGTGTATAGTAAACGCCAATTGTCCAGTCCGGGTGGTTTCTCCCCCCTTGAGAAAAGGTCGGGCGTTGGCAGAACTGGGTTTAGTGGAACCTGGCTTAGTGATCTGCACCGGGGGCGCCCCGCCCCCCGCCCCACTTCCACTGACCGGAACTGCCGCCACCCGAAAACACACCAGCTATGGCAAACCTGGTTTCGTGACTCTGGCCACTTCAAAAGAACCGGCGCCCTACCACCAACCGGGTCCCCTCACCTGGGGTCCTGGCCATACCCGCCTTGAAAAGCACGCGCGCCCACTCCTCGGCTATACGCAAGAGTGACCCTGGGTAAGAAAGACCTTTGGTGCGCGACTTTTTGGGGGCCGCGGGGGGACCAAACCTGGGTGCGCAAGCAGCTGCTACTGCTTCGTTTTCAGCCATCTGGGGGCCCATCCGTGCCCGCACCAAAGGTCACTCCGGCGAAGGGTCACTCTTACGTCTAGTCGAACTCCCCACTCCACGCTCCGCGGCGCACGCGCCGGCGCTTGGCGCCCGCCTCTGCGCCGCGCCGCGGCCGCCGGCCTCCCCCGTCGGGGCCGAGGCTCGGGCGAGGAAGGCGTCGTTGCCCGCGTTCATGTTCGCCATGGCCTGGGCGGCGCGGGCTTCGGCACCGCGGCAAGTCGCGGCACGGGGGGGGAGGGGGGGAGGGGGAGGGGGGACGGGGAGGAGGGAGGGAGGGAAGAAGAGAGGGGAGGGAGGGAAGGAGGGAGGCAGAGGGGGGGGGAGAAGGAGAGAGAGCGCCAGAAAACGTCCTTGGGGGACGGCCCTATGAGAGCCCGGCGGGAACGCCGGAGCGCCAGAAAGCTCACGCGACGTAGTTGCCGGAATGGATAAAGCGACGCACGTATTCCAGGAGATCTTTTCCATGAGCCTTCCACCATGGTAGGTTTTGGGCCAATGTCCGCCATTTGGAGACGGTGCGGGTTCCAGCCATGTCGTGTAGACAAGAAGCAGTGTCATCATCCCAAGACTTCTACTGTCCGCCATGTCTGCGAAAGGCTGGGCGTAGGTCGTGCGAACATGCGTCACAATTCGCACTCACTCGTGTCCACCTGTCGTGATCATGGTTGGCGACGCGTGTTGCGAACGTCCATTTTCGCTTAAGTATGCGTCCATCCATTTGTCAATTCGTGCTCGCTTGGCGGGCGCCAGAGCGGTGGAAGTACTTCTCCGTATGAAATTAACCCAAGATTCAGATCCATCGTCGTTGTCTCCGTCGTTTGCTGTTGTCGGTGCTGGTGTCGGTGCTGGCGCTGGTGGTGTGGTCCGTGCTGGTGCTATTGTCGGTGCTGGTGCTGTTGTCGATCGGTGCTGGTTCTGGAACTGTGGTCGGCGCTGGTGCTGGTGTTGTTGTCGGCGGTGGTGCTGGTGCTGTTGTCGCCGTCGTCCAGTGCCACTGTCGGTGCTAAAGTCGGTGCTGGACTCGATGCTGTTAGTGTCGGCGTTTGTACCGTTGTTGCCGTTGCTGCGGGCGCGTGCTTTCTGTCTTGCCTAGGTAAATTCCGTCTTCTCGACGTACTTATGATCAGTCGGAGCATTTTCCGTTGCATTCGTTGTAACGTGATGAACATATATCCTTGATGAATGTCCAAGAAGAGCAACAATACGTAACACATGGTGTGATCGTACCGCTGAGAAAGCTGGACCCTGCTGTTCACGGGGAAACTTGTTGTTGGTGAGTTCGTCCCGCAGTTGATGAAACTTCGATCATCCCGCGGCGATCCTGTTTTTGTTCCGCTCGTCGTCGTGAAAGTCGTGGAACGATGCCCTAGAACGTCTGGACGTGCACCATCCAAGAAGATGCTCGCGATTGTCCTGCCAGCCCTCCAGCTGGCGTTGGTGAAAATATGTGTCTTGTCGCGCGCGTAGCTCGACGGCACGACATGGATGCGCGGACATGACCCTCGCGCGGGACTTCCTCGATGTATTCAGGAATCGCGCTCTCGCACGGGACTTCCTCACAGTGTATTCAGACATCGCGCCCTCGACCTTCAGGAGTCCCCGGATTGTCGCTCGAGACTTCCTCGGGATTCATGCAGGACGCACGCTTCAGCAGCCCGCCTGCCCTGGAACCCAGCACAAGCAACGGCAAGTTTGCGACTGCGACCAAAGACAGGATCAACGATCTCGTTGCCGATGGTGCAACATCCACGCGCGAACTTGCTTTGGGTGTCCTCCTTCCCGGAGATCAAATGCCCGGGGTGAGCGGGTGGCTGCCCGCCCCTGTGCAAACCTCATCAATCACGGCCTGCGCAAGTTCCACCGTGACACAATCGGGGATGCGCTCGCCTGCACCAGCTTCAAAGCAGTACATGTTGAAGGCATCGTCTCCACCCACGATGGCCTCATCCAAAATCATCTGTCAGTAGGGCGGAATGCCGTTCCCAAGGGGAATTATCCCAGAGCGACCCTACCTAAGAGTTGGAGCTCCGAAGAGAGCAATATTAGTAGTAACGGTAAACGCCGTCCTCTTCCTTCTCCTCATCGTCGCAGTTGTAGCAGTAGCGGTAGTAGTAGTAGTAGTAGTAGTAGTAGTAGTAGTAGTAGTAGTAGTAGTAGTAGTAGTGGTAGTAATAATTATAGTACAGCTGAATACCTACATCCACATCTAGACCTATATCCACATCTAAACCTACAGCTACATCTACATATACACATGCATCTACATCTACAGATACATCTACATATACATCTGCATCTACAACTACACTCACAGCTACATCTACATATACACCTACATCTACACCTACATGTGCATGTACATATTCATCTACACCTACATCCACATCTACACCTACACATACATTTAAATATACAGTTACACGTTCGCATTGGTGGTGCTTGTGAGTTGCATTGCCGTTGCTATTGCTCTTGCCGTCTTGTGCATGTGCCGTTGCTTTTGCTATGCTAGGCTATGATATGATATGAAATGCTGCGCTATGCTATGTTATGCTATGCTATGCTGCGCTATGATATGATATGGTGTGATGCTGCGCTATGTTATGATATGTTATGGTATGATGCGCTATGCTATGATATGATATGATATGATATGATATGCTGCGCTGTGCTATGGTAAGCTATGTTCTGCTATGATATGATATGATGCGCTATGCTACGCTATGCTGTATGCTCTGATATGTTATGCGATGCTAACTGCGCTATGATGTACTGCGCTATGCTATGCTATGCTATGATATGCTATGCTATGCTATGCTATGCTATGCTATACTGTTAATGCTGCGTTGCGCTGCGCTGCGCTGCGCTAAGCCTAAGCTAAGCTAAGCTAAGCTAAAATCGCTAGGCTAAGCTAAGCTAAGCTAAGCTAGGCTAAGCTAAGATGAGATAAGCAACGCTAAGCTAAGTAACTGGGGGAACCGCGGGGCGGATGCCGGGGGAACCGCCCGGGGCGCGTTCCACTGCCCGGCCCCTTGAAGATAGAGAGTAAGAACCCTTCTAGGCAGAGCCTCGATAGGGAAAACAATGCGCAGACGGCTCGAAGGCCGCGGACTGGCCGTCCAGGGCAATCTGTGCAGTCCCCAGAGCGACCTTATGCAATACCACAGCTGCACAAACTGGAAAACCATCGAGGTACACATGACCTCAAGGAGGACGCGCGCGCTCGACTGGCCACGCTCGGAAGCTGGGCAAGGGCTGCTGAATCCGTGGCTGCTAAAATCGACCTCCTGGACGTTGTCTTCGTCCTCCCGGGAAGGAACCCGTTCACGGTTTCGCGTGCCGCGCCTCATTCTGGGGAGTTGTTTCTTCCTTCCGGGAGGGCCTTTTTAGCAGCCACGGATTCAGTAGGGGAACGAAAAGTGGCATAAACATAAAAACTCAGAGGGCCGCGCAAATTTCTCGGATCGGCGCTGGACCCCCCTCCCTGGCGCGCGGAGCGCGCCAGGGGCGGCGCCGGAGGCGCCGCCGGGGGGCCCCAGCGCCGATCCGAGAAATCCGCGCGGACCTCCGAGTTGTTATGTTTATGCCACTTTTTGTTCCCCTATTTAGCAGCCCTCGCCCAGCGTCCGACACGCAAGCCAGCTTCCCGAGAGTGGAGCTACGGGCCGTTTCCCCACCACGCCCTCTGCACGCCCAGGCCGGAGCCCAGCACACCCAGGAAGCGAGACACACCCACGTTGACCAGGCGGAAGCACAAACAGGAGCTGCACGCGAGGGCTCTTAGCACCTAGGGGGCCTACAGAGCTGCAACAAACAGGACTGCACGTGAGGGCTCTTAGCACGCGACAAACAGAGCTGCAACAAACAGGCCTACAGAGCTGCAACAAACAGGACCTAGTTGCACGCGAGGGCTCTTAGCACAAACAGGAGCTGCACGCGAGGAACTGGCCAACAGAACTTGGTCGGTGTCAGCAGGGGGGCCTGCGGATGCCGATGCCAAAGTTCGCCGCGCCACAGCAAAAGCGCCGACGAAGCGCGCCGTCGCCACCGCATGACACGCCCTGAAGCTCCTCCGCTAGAAGGCCACGAGCGCGGCATCTCGTCACCCGTCGCTGCGCAAGCAAATAGCCCCCGAAGCCGCGGGTGGCGACCGCGCGAAACGCGCTCCCTACTTGAGGGCGATGCGCAACAGCACGCGTTGGGATCCCGAGTTGTACGCCAGCTTGGTCGATGTGAATACAAATCGCCTCGCGCATGGCAACAAGGAGGTGAATCATTACATTCGCACAAAGCCGACAGACCGACATTCGCTCAGTGGGTCAGGCCTGGCGGTAAGCGTGAATCTCAAGATCAAACTGCTCAGGCGGCGACGACGGTGATGATGCTGCTGATGATGATGATGACGACGACGATGATGATGACGCGATGATGATGAGGATGATGATGACGACGACGACGACGATGATGATGATGATGACGATGGTGGGGGCGACAAGGACAAGATCGACGACAGCGACGATGACGATAACCAGGACGATGATGCTGATGACGACGGTGGTGACAATGACAATGACGTCGGTGATGGTTGTGAAGATGATGATGGTCATGATGGCCGCTGGCAGTAATTGGTCTGGCGATGATGACGACAGTGCCGATGAGGATGATATGAAAGTGAGCGCGCGCAGAGTCCTTGACGTATCGCGACTGAACTGCAGATGGTGTCATATGTGTTTGAACACATATTTCCCAAAATGATGCAAACCAATTGTGTTGTGACGATTTCGACATGGTCGCGCGGGGGCGCGCGTGTATCGTCCGGGTTGAAGAATTTGACAAAGTTGATGGGTGTGCAATCATTGCTGCAAGATTTCGACATGCGCGCGCGTGGCTCGCGCTGTCTCATATGAGAGAGCGACACACTAGGACAACTTTATAGTTTCTCATGAACTCAAGACCATGGCATTCCCTAGCGGTTAATGTTGTGTGTGTGATAGATTATGTTTCACATTCACCGGACAGCAGTACTCCGGATTTCGTAAGAAAGGGAGGGGGGTCTCATTTCGGGGGGGGTCTCTTCCAGGCTATCTTGGAGGGCCTGGGGGGGTCTGGGGACGATGTTTTGGAGGGTTCTCCCACGGGGGGGGTCTAAAACTTCTCGTCTGGGAGGGTTGAGACCCCCTCCCTTTTATTACGAAATCTGGAGTAGACTTGGAAGGATGTTCACATGTGCGCGCATGTCGCTGGCATGGCCCCGTGTGATACGGAGTCCTTGGCCATGCGCTCGTGAGATCGAAGCGAATGCCCCGCACAGCATTGCTTCACGGCGTGGAGTCAGAATGGGGCCAATCTGCGGACCCCCTCCCAGGCACCACCCTGACCAGCTTTGCGAATCGCGCCTGGCTGTGGCATCGAGGGGACCGAGGCCCCAACACGTGCCACAGGAAGTTTCCTCTCTGAGGCGTCGCCGCCGCGTCGAGGGGCGGCGCGACCCTGCCACGAGAGCTGCTAGTCGGAAGGCGTCCTCTGACCACCTCACAGGTCTTGGCCGGCCCGATCCCGGGCCCAGGGTGCGTGTGCGCACGCCTCTGCTCGGGGAGCGCTCTGACCCCTGAGCCGCCCGCCCCGTCCTTGCTTTCCTTCGGCCGCGGCCCTCCTCCCTCCTCCTCCTGCATGGTGGCACACATGGGCCCAACGGTACCCCCGCTCATGCCATTCATCGCCAGCGCACGGGGGAGGAGGAGGGGGAGGAGGAGTAGAAGGAGGAGGAGGAGGAGGCGGCGAAGGAGGAGGAGGAGGAGGCGGAGGAGGAGGCGGAGGAGGCGAGGGAGGAGGAGAGGGAGGAGGGGGAGGAGGAGGAGGAGGAGGAGGAGGAGGAGGAGGAGGAGGAGGAGGAGGAGGCGGAGGAGGACCCCTGCCTGGCCCACGCCACGCTAAAAGAGCGTGCTCGCGCGGCTCCTCTCAGGCGAGCAGGGCGTGCGCGCGGGCCCTGCAGCCAGGATTGGCGCACGCCCCGGCCCTGGGTCCCGAGCGGGCCGGGCAAGGACTGGTGCGGTGGTCCGTCGACGCCGCGCTGTGCAGGGAGGCCCCGCTCTCCCCCATGCGAGGCGGGGGGTCGCAGGGCGCGGGGCCTTCTGGGCGTTCGCCCGCGCCTGCGCGTTGTAGGCCTTGAGGCGCTCCTCGTGCTCCTCGGGCGCAGGGCGGGGAGACGGGAGGCTCGACGTCAGCACCAGCCGAGGGCCTCCTCCTTCTTCTTCTCCTTCCTCCTGCTCCTCGTGCTCCTCCTCCTCCTCCTCCTCCTCCTCCTCATCCTCCTCCTCCTCCTCCTCCTCCTCGTCCTCCTCCTCCTCCTACTGCATCTCCTCCTCCTCCTCCTCCTACTTCATCTCCTCCTACTTCATCTCCTCCTCCTCCTCCTCCTCCTCCTCCTCCTCCTCCTCCTCCTCTGGCCTACCCGAGGAGAACGGAGACAGAGAGGGAGGGAGGCAGGGAGGGAGGGAGGGAGGGGGGGGGAGGTTTGGGCCACGCTTTGCACTTGTGGTGCGGCGCCCAGAAGCCCTAGAGGAAGAGGACGGGGGGGCGGAGGGCAGAGGACGGAGAATGGAGCACGGAGGAGGAAGGAGGGAAAGCAGATAACATCGGAGGAGGGTGGAGTGAGGACGAAGGGGGAGGACACCGACGGGGGACGACGGCCGCGACGACGACGACAATGACGACCACGACTACGACCACGACCACGACCACGACCACGACGACGACGACGACGACGACGACGACGACGACGACGACGACGACGACGACCCCGACCCCGACCCCGACCCCGACCCCGACCCCGACCCCGACCCCGACCTCGACGACGACCCCGACGACACGGACGATGAGAATCGTTGAGGACGGGCAGCGGGCGGGGGATGGAGAGGTATGGGAGGGAGCAGCAGCAGACGCGACGGGGAGAAGCGGGAGCAGCAGCAGCAGATGCGATGGGCGAACGTGCCCACACCAAGTACTGCGGCCCGTCCCTGCCAGCACGTCCACGAGTGCAAGATGCGGGGCCCGTGCTCGTCACAGTCGAGACTTCAGACCTGGGCCGTCGCCTCAATCCCCCTTTCTCCTCCGCCTCCTCCTCCTCCTCCCTCATCCTCCTCGTCCTCCTCCCTCTCCCTCCTTCCTCCTTCCTCCTTCATCCTTCCTCCTTCCTCCTTCCTTCCTTCGTCCTCATCCTCGTCCCCCCTCCTTCTCCTCCTCCTCCGCCTCCTCCTCCTCCTCCGCCTCCTCCTCCGCCTCCTCCTCCTCCTCCTCCTCCTCCTCCTCCTCCTCCTCCTCCTCCTCCTCCTCCCCCTTCTCCTGCCTCCTCCACTCCTCCGTCCCTGAATCCACGTGTACGACTTGATGAGGCAGGCGGCGCCACCAATGCCCCAGTGCCAGTGACTGACGCTCGCGACGCTTCCGACGACTCCGCCTCGCCTGACTCTCTTGACGCTCCCAGCTCCAGGAGCGGCAGGAGCTCCAGGGAAGGTACCTCGACGCTTCTGACGCTTGTGACGCTCCCGACCGTCGGGAGCTTCGGGAGCTTTCAGAGCTTCGGAGGCTTCGGAGGCTTCGGAGGCTTCGGGAGATTCAGGCACGCGCGCGCGTGAGCAAGCGCACGAACGCAGAGCGAGGCGGCGGGCATCCTTGAGGGACTCGCCCTCCGCATGGCGGCGCTTGCTCTCCTCTAGGTTCGCCTGGGCGCCCGGGGGGGCGCTCGCCGGGGGCATCCGAGCCCCCCCGGGGGCGAGCACCGGGAGCCAGGGGTGAGCGAGGGGAGCGCGGCGGAGGGTGGCGAGGGGGAGCGGGGACGAGCGGAAGAGCGAGAAGGAGTGGCGATGGAGGGAGAGAGGAAGTGAACGAGGCCGTCTCCTCCTCCCCCCCCTCCGCCTCCTCCTTCTCCTCCTCCTCCATCTCCTCCTGCTCCTCCTCCTCCTCCTGTTCCTCCTCCTCCGTCTCCTACTCCTCATCGTCCTCATCATCGTCCTCGTCCTCATCCTCATCCTCATCATAATCGTCGTCGAAATCGTCGTCATCACCATCGCATCATCATCAGCACCATCGTCATCATCATCATCATCATCATCATCATCATCATCATCATCATCATCATCATCATCATCATCATCATCATCATCATCATCATCATCGTCGTCATCATCATCATCATCATCATCATCAGCATCATCATCATCAGCATCATCAGCAGCAGCAGCATCAGCATCATCAACATCAGCATCATCAGCATCATCAGCATCAGCATCGTCATCATCATTAGCATTAGCATCATCCTGATCCTCATCCTCCTCCTCCTTCTCATCCTCATCCTCATCCTCATCATCAGCATCATCATCAGCATCAGCATCATCATCAGCATCATCATCAGCATCATCATCGTCATCGTCATCATCATCACCACCACCAGCATCATCATCAACAGCATCAGCATCATCATCAGCATCACCATCGTCATCGTCATCGTCATCATCATCAGAATCAGCATCAGCATCCCCATCAGCATCATCATCACCAGCATCATCATAAACATAATCATCATTATAATGATCATCCTCGTCGTCGTCCTCATCATCATCAGCAGAAGCGGCAGCAGCAGCAACAACACAGTCACCATCAGCAGCATCATCATCCACATCATCATCATCATCATCATCATCATCATCATCATCATCATCATCATCACCATCATCAGCATCATCATCATCAACATAATCATCATCAGCATCGCCATCGTCGTCGTCATCGTCATCGTCAGCAGCTTCATCCTCAGCATTATCAGCATCGTCATCATCATCCTTCTTCTCCTGCTCATCCGTCACCATCCCCATCGTCATCATGATCATCGGCAGCATCATCATCAGCATCAGCATCATCTGTACCATGATCAGAATCATCATCATCAGCAGCAAACCCAGTACCACCACCATCGTCGTCGTCATCATCACCATCGCCATCGTCATCACCATATCATCAGCATCGGCATCCTCATGAAAATCCTCATCACCAGTAGCAACAGCATCATCAGCATTAGCACCATCAGCAGCATCCACATCAGCATCAGCATATTCATGCTCAGCATCATCGTCATGATCATCAGCATCATGATCATGGTCGTCGTCATCAGCATCAGCATACTCACCAGCATAATTATCATCAGCATCATCCTTCTCATCATCCTCAGCATCAGCACCATCATCAGCAACATCATCATCAGCAGCATCCGCATCAGCATCAGCAGATTCATCATCAGCAGAGTCATGAGCATCAGCATCATCGTCGTCAGCATAATCGTCATCGTCATCATCATCATTATCATCCTCATCCTCATCGTTTTCCTCGTCCTCATCAGCAGCACCAGCATCATCAGAAGCATCGGCATTAGCATCAACATCATCATCATCATCATCATCATCATCATCATCATCATCATCATCATCATCATCATCATCGTCGTCATCGTTATCGTCATCGTCGTCCTCACTATCATCATCATCACCATCATCATGGCTTTTATTATTATCGGCATCATCGTCGTCGTAGCTATCTCCATCATCATCAGCAGCAGCAACACCATCACCATCATCGTCACCATCATCGTCGTTATCATCATCACCTCCATCATCATCACCAGCACCATCACCGTCACCATCCCCATCCCCATCACAATGAACATCACCATTACCCTCACCCTCACCCTCACCAATTCTCATCATCATCATCATCATCAGCAGCAGCATCAGCATCAGCATCAGCATCATCATCATCATCATCATCATCATCATCATCAGCATCATCATCATCATCATCATCAGTATCATCATCGTCATCATTACCATCATAAGTATCATCATCACCATCATCATCATCATCATCATCATCATCATCATCATCATCATCATCATCATCATCATCTTCCTTCTTCCCCTCCTCCTCCTCCTCCCACTCCTCCTCCTCATTATCATCATCATCATCATCAGTATCATCATCATCACCACCACCACCACCATCATCATCATCATCATCACCATCACCATCACCATCACCATCACCATCACCATCACCATCACCATCACCATCATCATCATCATCATCATCATCACCATCATCATCATCATCATCATCATCATCATCATCATCATCGTCATCATCATCATCATCATCTTCCTTCTTCCCCTCCTC